CCAGCCCAGCTTAGCTGTCCGAACGTATCTCTCCTTATGAACCATCTTGGAGCTTAGGATCGTCTGGTGAGGTCCTGCTCTCGATCCCACCTGCATCGCAAGCGCAATTGGCGGGGACGAGGGAAAGGGCCTTCTCAGTGGTGCCCCCCCCCCAGCTATGGCACTCCCTTCCCAGGGATATTAGATCATCCCCCTCCCTCCCAACTTTCTGAAAAAAGGTAAAAACTTGGCTCTTTGAACAAGCTTTTGAGAATGCAGCGGAATAGATAACATGAAACTATGAATGATGAACATGGAATGGCCGGACGATGTTACTGGAAAACAATTTTAACAAGATGATGTCGGTGACTACATGTTTTAATGGTTTTTATATATGTTTTTATATTGTTATGTTGACTGTTTTTAATTGCACTTTTATGAATGCCTAGCATCGTATCATGCCAATCAGTAACCCACCTTGAGTCGCTGTATGGTTGAGAAAGGCGGGCTATAAATGTTGTAAATAAGTAAATAAACATCTGTTATGTCATTACCCTTCATGACAGTAACAAAGCTAGTTTTGAAGTAGCAATGAAAATAATTTTATGGTTTGGGGTCACCACAACATGAGGAACTGTATTAAGGGGTCACGGCATTAGGAAGGTTGAGAACCACAGCTCTAGTATGGCACAGGGAAATAGGGAGATGCATCAACAATCATAGTCCTGTTGGCTTTCATCAGCAAACTGTGCAAAGCTTTTGCTAAAAAGGTGCCTCTGGTGTGTGTTAGCCAGACTCTCCCTCTTTAACTCCCATTTCACAAGCTACCCAGCTCTCTCTGTGCCCTGCTCCCAGTGTGTCAAATACTTTTTCTCTGGGTAAAAAGGAGCTTTGACCATTCCAAACCATAAAAATTCATTGGCCACTGTAGCCACTTCATTCTGATCTTTATTCAGAACCCGAAATATGCAGGTTGAACATTTTTAATCGGGAAACCCAAAATGCTCCAGTATCCAAAATTGTTCATATTTGTTGCTAAGAAAATGACACCTTTGCTTTCTGATCATTCATTATGCACGAACCTTGTTTCATGCACAAAAATAAAAATATTGTGTACAAAGTTACCCTCAGGTTATGTGTATATGGCCTATATGAAATATAATTGAATTTCATGTTTAGATTTTGCTCCCAACTCCAAGGAATCTCATTATCTATATGCAAATATTCTAAAATCCCCCCAAATCCAAAACAACTTCCAGTCTCAAGCATTACAGATAAGTGATACTTAACCTGAATAGGTATACACTTGAGTGAAGAACTTCAAACATTTATAAAACTCATTCACCCCTAGCAGGCAAATGCAACAAGGAAGAACGTGAAAGGAGCTGCCTGTTACTCATGCATCCAATGAAAGGCAGATGGCTTACGATGAGCCATTGTATTGACAAATTCTGGAATTTCAACAGTATTGGGAATTTTGAATGCATTTCCTCATTTACAACAATTCTAGGTTACAACTGTGAAACCAATTTTAAAGCTGGTGCATATTCCATAAAACTTGGTTTTTCTTCTTGGCTACTTCCACCTCAAAGACTACAAAAATGTTGCATCCAATGCTGAAGATTCTTTAACTCAAGACACTTTACTGAAAATAAGGCTCACTGAAAGACATTAGTCCCTTCACCATTTAAGGTTAGCAGGGAAATGTGTTGATATCAGTCCATATTCTATACCAAAAAAATGTGCAATGATGACTTCAGCAGAAATGCATATATATATACTTACGCATACAGTTGGCCCTCTGTATCCACAGGTTCTGCATCCACAAGCTCTATCAATCACCGCTTGTAATTTTTAAAAATCCAGTAAACAAATGTTGGATTTTGCTATATGTTGAGCTACACTGATTATCATCATAGGCAACACTTTATGGCAAACTATGACTGTCTTCTAGAAGTAGAGTATTGGCAATGGGTCCATAAGTGACTTTAGACACTTTTTCTGGATATGCAGTTTTTAAAGTTAGCTTTAAGCCCGTATTTATTTATTTATTTACCACACTTTTATCCCGCCCTTTTCAACCCGAAGGCGACTGAGGGTGGCATAAAGGCTGGCAACAATCAGATGCTGAACACACATAAATACATTGTTTAAACCAGGTTAAACCACATAATAAAATTCATATTAAAAACATTTTGAACTATAAAAATCAATGACTTCTGGGTTTAAATTCATGTCTCTTCTCCTGTCCACCAACATTTCATTTTCCATGTATTGTCGAAGGCTTTCATGGCCGGAATCACTGGGTTGTTGTAGATTTTTTCGGGCTATGGCAAGAATCCTCACTACCTCTCAGGATGCTTGCCATAGATGCAGGCGAAATGTCAGGAGAGAATGCCTCTGGACCATGGCCATATAGCCCGAAAAAACCTACAACAACCCATTTCATTTTCCATTCTTGAGTTGGGAATATAGTAACTGCTTTGGAAGATGGTGATCAGGCATTTGGACAACGTGGTCAATCCAGCAAAGTTGATGATGAAGGATCATCGTGTCAATGCTAGTGGTCTTGGCTTCTTCCAGAACGCTGACATTTGTCTGCCTGTCTTCCCAAGACACTTGCAAGATTTTTCGGAGGCAATCATTCCAGAAATTGAGTGTGATGTCTGTAAACAGTCCACATTTTGCAGGCATATAACAGGGTTGGGAGGACAATACCTTCATAAACAAGCATCTTGGTAGCCCTACAACACTCTCTGCTTCATTCATTCAGAAAAATGCTGCACTCACAGAGCTGAGACGGTGCAGTATTTCAGTGGATGTCTTCTGAGATAGGTAAAAGGTGATTTGCAAGGACTTTCCTAGTGGAGGTTAGAAGGGAGATATCTCAATAGTTTCTGCAGTCTGTTCTTTCCCCCTTTTTGAAAAGGGTGATAATGGTGATATCCCTGAAGTCTTCTGGGATTTTCTCAGTTACCCACACTTTTTCAATGAGCTGGTGGAGTTGACGTGTCAATTCACATCCACCCTCTTTAAAGATTTCAGCAGGGATCCCATCGGTTCTGCTGGCTTTATTTTTAGTTGATTGATGGCTTTGCTGACTTCCTCCAAACTAGGCAATGCTGCAATTTCATCCCTGGTTTGTTGTTGTGGGATTTGCAGGAGAATCTCTTTGGTCAAGTTGGAGCTGTTGTTAGAGAGGTTATGTTCCTTTTCTTATAAATTAACTGTTGGATTTCGTTATCATTTTCATCAAGCCAGTCTTGATGTTTCTTAGTTCAATATCTGATGTGCAGGCATACCCTGCAGTAGACACCCACAATTTCACAGATGATCATGCTCCCTCTAGCATTTGTTTGAGTTATTCACCATCTTACTATACCATTGTATACAGGCAATCCCCAAATTATGTAGGTTTGTTCTTAAGTTGAATTTGTATGCAAGTCAGAACAGGTAAATTGTTAGGTGTAACTACACACACACACACCTACATGCATCCTTTGGATAGTATAGGGAAGGGTGGTGTTTGTTTTGCTGTCTGCGCCCTTGTTCAGAAGATTTCACCCCACTTTCTGTCTCTTTGATAATTGGATTTTGAAAAACGTGGTTTGTTGCGGAAACAAGGATTAGTGACAAAACTTCAGTGGAGAAACCTTTTTACCATAACTCTTTCAGGAGTGAATTTCCCTTCAAAGGGGTAGATTTTCCTCATTTCCTGTTCCCTCACCTTTGTTCTTAACTATGAGTTGTTTGTAAGTCGATGCTTATAACTCAGGGACTGCTTCTATAATGAGATTTGAGTATCACCAGATTTGGAAGTCGTAGAACCAACTCCAAGCAGATGCTAGAGCCCACTCTCTATGCTTATTTTGTATTGAACCAAGTAGCATAACATTAAAAAACCATCCACACTTTGATCTCGCAAAACCATGTTCAGCATTGCAACTCTATTTCGCCCTTGGTACTGGGATTTCAAAGTCTAGTTCTGCAGCTCTCACTCAACCTATTCAACTTGTATGCAGAACACATGCGATGTGTGGGGATTGATGAATGCAAGGCTGGGGTAAAGAAACATTAACAACCTTCGATATGCATATGATACCACTTTGATGGCTGAAAGCGAGGAGGAGCTGAGGTGAAAGAAGAAAGCACAAAAGCTGGGTTGCAGCTAAACATAAAAAAAACCCCAAGATTATGGCAACAAGAATGATTGATAACTGGGAAATAGAGGGAGAAAACGTGGAGGTAGTGACATTTCATATGTCACTGCCTCCACGTTTGTATTTGTATTTCTAGGTAAAAAGAATACTGCAGATACAGACTGCGGCCAGGAAATCAGGAGACGCTTACTTCTTGGGAGGAGAGCAATGTCCAATCTCGATAAAATAGTAAAGAGTAGAGACATCAGACTGGCAACAAAGATCCGCATAGTCAAAGCAATGGTATTCCCCGTAGGGAAGGCTGAGCAAAGGAAGATAGATGCTTTCGAACTGTGGTGTTGGAGGAAAGTTCTGAGAGTGCCTTGGACCGCTAGATGATCCAACCAGTCCATACTTCAGGAAATAAAGCTCGATTGCTCATTGGAGGGAAGGATAATAGAGGCAAAGATGAAGGACTTTGGTCACATCATGAGAAGAAAGGAAAGCTTAGAGAAGACAACGATGCTGGGGAAAATGGAAGGAAAAAGGAAGAGGGGCCGACCAAGGGCAAGATGGATGGATGGGTTCCTTGAAGTGATTGGATTGACCTTGAAGGAGCTGGGGTTGGTGACGGCCAACAGGGAGCTCTGGCGTGGGCTGGTCCATGAGGTCACAGAGAGTCGGAAACGACTGAATTAATGAACAACAAAAACAACAACGGTTCAGCAGCTATAAGAACTTGGAACTCGATGAGAATAATTCAATACTGATTTTGTTTCTCTATGGTTTTCCATCTTCATCATGAGGAAAAAGTCACAGCTGAATTTTTATCACAAATTTACTCACTCCCCATGGATTTCTAGAAAGCAGAAAGAAGGCGGCTTATAAATTTAGAAATTTATAAAATATAATCACTTCACAAAAAATAGCTATATACAAAAAGGCAAAGAAAATTGACAGCCCATTAGATTATCATGGTCACCTTGCGAAATGCAGCCTCTTATTGAAAAAAAAGCTATTGTGATGCTTTTAAATGGCAGTTCTTCAATCATTTTGATCACTACTGATAAAATATCAACTAAAAATGACGCTTTGGAGACATGTTTTAACAATACATGTAACAGAATGATAAACAGGAAAACTCAACGAGAAATAATAACTTAACATTAGTAGACACATTCTGAAAAATGTCATGATGTCAAGAAGCAGTGATATTGTTTATGAAGAACAATAAAGCTGGGGATAACAACCATCCATTGCGAGTCTAAGTCTGACTGAAAGGACTTCATAGGAGAAACTGAGACCAATTCATAATCTTCCCTCACTGATCTTTGTCTGCTGCAGTGCAGTTCACAGAAGCCACGTGGCAACTTTAAAACAGTGCCCGAATTCATAGAGTTCTGTCCATGGGAGGCTCATAAGGCAGCAATAGCTTTGGCAGCCACTCTGCGGCCCAAAGGCAAGCTGAGGTCTGTGATGGCCAACACGATTTTGGGGCTGGACATTGTGGACGCTTTCACCAACTCCGAGACCTGCCCAGGAATAAAAGCAGAGAATGAAATCAAAGAAGAAGCAACACAGACAACCAAGTATGAGCAGAAACAACTCAGGAGCGGGATCTGTGTGTGAGGTCATCTTTTAAGTGGAATAATTTTCTTACCAATAAGAAGAAGAAAAAAACAACTTTTATAGGTATTAGCCAGAAATATAATCTGTTTCTCATAGTGCAGGGGTTCTCAAACTTTTTTGACAGAGGGCCAGGTCACAGTTCCCCTCAAACTGTTGGAGGGCCGGATTATAATTTGAAAAAAAAATTAATTCCTATGCACACTGCACATATCTTATTTGTAGTGCAAAAAACACTTAAAAACAATACAATAATTAAAATGAAGAACAATTTTAACAAATATAAACTTATTAAAATTTCAATGGAAAGTATGTGCCCGCTTTTGGCTGAAGAGATAGGATTGTTGTTGTTGTTGTGTGCTTTCAAGTCGTTTCAGACTTAGGTTGATCCTGAGCGAGGGCCAGGTAAATGACCTTGGGGGGCCACATCCGGCCCCCGGGCCTTAGTTTGAGGACCCCTGTCATAATGCATGTGTGTGTATTTATGAAATAGCTTTTTTATCATGTCAGAAGCGACTTGAATAACTGCAAGTCGCTTCTGGTGTGAGAGAATTGGCCATCTGCAAGGGCGCTGCCCAGGGAATACCCAGATGTTTTACCATCTCATGGGAAGCTTCTCTCATGTCCCTGCATGAAAAGGTGGGGCTGACAGACAGGAGCACACTCCGTCTCGCGGATTTGAACTGCCGACCTTCAGGTCAGCAGTTCAGCCGGCACAAGGGTTTAAGCCATTGCACCACCGCGGCTCCTCATTAAATAGTCTATTTATTGTATTTGTAAATGTTGTCTCCAAAGTGATTACCTGAAAAGCAGGAAATGACTTATTTTGTATACAATTCAATACAATTCTTGAGCAAACAGATATAGTAACAATAACAATTCTCAGGATCTGACAGCATTGGAAGATGGGTAGAGAGAAGTGCTTGGATTTACCTATAAGGGGTCACTGTAGTCATGGAAGGGATGTACCCCCAGCAAAGACTTATATCTTAAATTATTCCATGATGGGATTGACAGTATCTAAAGTATTATGATATGGACTGTATAGAACAGTGGTTCCCAACCTGTGGCCCATCGACCACCAGTGGAATCATAGAATCATAGAGTTGGAAGAGACCTCATGGGCCATCCAGTCCAACCCCTGCCAAGAAGCAGGAAAATTGCATTCAAAGCACCCCTGACAGATGGCCATTCAGCCTCTGTTTAAAAGCTTCCAAAGACGGAGCCTCCACCACACTCCAGGGCAGAGAGTTCCACTGCTGAACGGCTCTCACAGTCAGGAAGTTCTTCCTCATGTTCAGATGGAATCTCCTTTCTTGTAGTTTGAAGCCATTGTTCCGCGTCCTAGTCTCCAGGGCAGAGGAAAACAAGCTTGCTCCCTCCTCCCAGTGATCCGCAAAAACTAAAATATGGTCTGCAGTGTCACAATTACTACACTGTTGAAATGAGATAGACTGTTCTCACGAAACCCTCTTATAGTGCCAAGGGTTATTAAATATGGTTTTCTGTGGGCAAGGAGATGGCAACTACTGGATGACATATGTCCTGTACAGAAACTAGAGCTGATGTGGTCTATCCAACACAATTTCTGAATCAGCACTCCAAATAACCAAACCAAATCCAAAGTTGACCAAAAACTATTTTGGAACCCTTTTGGTACTAATGTTGGAGAGTGGTATTAAAGTTGGAGAATGGTCCCTAATCAAAGTAGTCCCTGGTCAAAAAAAGATTGGGAACAACTGTTCTAGAACCTCTAGTTGGGGTATCTCTGCCAAATGCATTCTAACAATACATATTATCTGACTTTGTATGAGGCACCATCGCTTACAATGGACCCAATTACATTGCTATCCAACTGCTTTTCTACAAGTATATCTTTTTAAATGAATCTATAGACTCCAAGACAAAATGGCTCCCCCTAGTGTCAGGAAAGTCAAATAGGAAAAAAAGAAAGTTACTGTATTTCTTCAATTCTAAGACGAACTTTTCCCCCATATAATCATCTCTAAAACTGGGGTGAATTTTACAATTGCAGATGTGTGCATTGCATACATGTATGTATATATGACATTTATAACACAGGAACAAAAATAGTGTTACATAGTGCTATCAACCTCATTAAGAAAGCATGCATTCTTGTGTCAATTTCAATGTAAAGTGCTACAGTTAGTTGAGTCATGTACTACGAATTTAAATTATAATTGAGGGAATTCAAATAAACACAGACACACACCTTTCAGATGTAACAAACACCAGTTTTTTTTAAAGGTTTTGCTAATTATCTTTCAAAAGAAATCTCCATAGACGTCTGAGAGTGCTCACCATGGTAAAAGGCATGAACTGTAGGATGCTGCCACGGCTTCCCTGTTCCAAGCAATCCACACACTCTTCCATGAACCACTGGACAAACTGTGTGTGCGTCCCAGCCGTCTTGGCTCCCAAGATGGAGGCAATCAGGAGGAAGAGGTTGGCTGAAGAGACGAAAGAGAAAGAAAGCAATGTCTTATGAGCTGGAACCTTATAGAACTTTCTTCATAACCTGTTTAGAATTGAAAAGGCTTACCTAGTACTCTGTTGAGAGGATCTCTCATGCTGACTGTGTGGAGCTGCGAAGCAGACAATGAACTGCTCATGGTGCGGTCTGCTGAAAGAGACAAAAAGAACTCAGCCGATTTACCGGGGACCCAGTGTAACACATTTACTTGAGCCCTCGAAATGAAATGCCCTTCAACCATACCTCCCATTCCTTGTGTAGTGTCTACCTTGAATACTCAGATGCCAAAGCATTGTGGCAAAGAGTTTTTGCTTTACCAGGCTTTGGCACGTCTATTTGAATATGTAGGCTGTCACGCTCAATTCTTCACAAGATCATTCCTATGTAGTGTTCCCCTATATCAGGGGTCCTCAAACTTTTTAAACAGAGGGCCAGGTCACAGTCCCTCAAACTGTTGGAGGGCCGGATTATAATTTGAAAAAAAATGAATTAATTCCTATGCACACTGCACATATCTTATTTGTAGTGCAAAAACACTTTAAAATAATACAATAATTAAAATGAAGAACAATTTTAACAAATATAAACTTATTAGTATTTCAATGGGAAGTGTGGGCCTGCTTTTGGCTGATGAGATAGGATTGTTGTTGTTGTGTGCTTTCAAGTCATTTCAGACTTAGGTTGACCCTGAGTGAGGGCTGGGTAAATGACCTTGGAGGGCCGTATTCGGCCCTTGGGCCTTAGTTTGAGGACCCCTGCCCTACATGGTGCTCACAGGTATGCCCACACCTGCCAAGCCAAGCTGAGGAAGCCACCAAGTAAATATTTCCCTGTGTTGTCGAAGGCTTTCATGGCCTGATCACTGGGTTGCTAAATTTTCTGGGCTGTATGGCAATGTTCCAGAAGCATTCTTTCCTAATGTTTCACCCACATCTATGGCAGTAGGTGCCCCCGGTGACGCAGTGGGTTAAACCCCTGTGCAGGCAGGACTGAAAACCAACAGGTCGCAAGTTCGAATCCGGGGAGAGGCGGATGAGCTTCCTCTATCAACTCCAGCTCCTATTGCAGGGACATGCGAAAAGTCTCCCACAAGGATGATAAAAACATCAAATCATTCGGGCGTCCCCTGGGCAACGTCCTTGCAGACGGCTAATTCTCTCACACCAGAAGGAACTTGCAGTTTCTCAAGTCGCTCCTGACATGACCAAAAAAAAAATTTATGGCAGCTAACGCCTCCCAACAAAGGATTCCCCCAGGCGGGAAGCAGCCAGGTTTAGAGGTTGCAGGGCCATTTCAATGATAATCAAGATGGCCAATTGCAACATTCTCACTTGCCTCAAACAGACAAGAGTTATTTCTCCCATTCTGGACATTCCACAGATATATAAACCCACTTGCCTTGTTTTCAACAGACCTCACAACCCCTGAAGATGCCTGATATAGATGTGGGCAAAACGTCAGGAGAGAATGCTTCTGCAACATGGCCATACAGCCTGGAAAACTCACAGCAAGCCAAATATTTCCCCTCTGCAAATAAGAAAGTAATTGCTCGATTTTCTTGCAGAGTGAAAAGGGATGAGCTATCCATCTTGAAAAAACAATGAAAAATGTTCGAAACCTATCTTTACTAAGGACTTTTTGGATTGGAGGTATGTCAGTAGTAAGTGCAGTTCTCCTCCACTATCTCATCCATTTTTCCACAGAACCATTTCCCCTTCCCATTTAAGAGAAGAAGGGGGGGAGGGCTGTATCCTATTGAAATAATTGGCTTGAGAGGAGAAGACCATCTCCTGCTTTGAGATTCTTAGCCATTAAGAAAGCCTTTGCAGTGTAATGCTCTAAATGGGTAGCTTCAATTAAAGCATCCTCTCTCAACCATAGGCCCGAATTTAAAATTAGAGCGCATAGATTACTAATTCCGACCTTGCTGAATTTTGGGGGGAAATACAACATGATAAATGCATGTAAAGCGTTTTGAATCCAAGTGCTAACAATATTATCATGGCTGTGGGATGTTAGCAGACCAGGTCTAGGTAAGACAGACATTTCCATTTGTGACAGTGATTTGTGATCATGTGCTTAGTGTGATCCCATTTTTCAAGAGATTCCTGTCCTCTAAACCTTTCTTAGTTTGCTAGGTCCTTTATATACTTAGGAAAACACATTATCAATAATGGACTACTTCAAAAACAAGCTTGCTCCCTCCTCCCTATGAAATACGTGAGAGGAAGTCAAAGGGAGGAGTGAGCAAGCTTGTTTTCTGCTGTCCTGGAGACTAGGATGCAGAACAATGGCTTCAAACTACAAGGAAGGAGATTCCATCTGAACATTAGGAAGACCTTCCTGACTGTGAGAGCCGTTTAACAGTGGAACTCTCTGCCCCGGAGTGTGGTGGATGCTCCCTCTTTGGAAGGTTTTAAACAGAGACGGGATGGCCATCTGTCAGGAGTGCTTTGAATGCAATTTTTCTGCTTCTTGGCAGGGGGTTGGACTGGATGGCCCATGAGGTCTCTTCCAACTCTATGATTCTATGACACTGCAGACTGAAGCAAGTTTGTTGCAGTTTTATCATACTTCAATTCATAATAGAATAAGAAAAAAATCAACAAAACTGTGCGGTGAATCTCTTTACATTATTTGTTGAAAACTAGATATATTCTGAAAGAAAAAAGGAAATGAACCCTGAGATTCCTCTAAAGCAGTTATTCTAAGGGCGAACCTACATGCAATGCCTCTGGGGAGGAAGGAAGTGAAATCCTGAAACTCCCTAGTTATGAATCACAGCTGGATCAAAAATGGAAGCGTTTTTGCATGCTCATCTTTTGTTTTCTAGTTGCAATTCATCTTGCGCATACCTCAAAGAAGAGAGGAAATAGGAGTGCCAGCTCATTGCGATTACAGAACTAGAAGGTGGAAACCCACATATTGCATTGTCACGGTGGAAACAAAAAAATATGCAAATAACTAAAATGGAATAAGGGAAAATTACAAAAACAAAAGTCTTGAGATGAATGGAAACATAGAGGATCTCTGACTCACTGGGCAAAAATCCCAGGTGATAAACAGTGATCATCTGCATTTATATAAATCATGGGTAAGCAGTGTATTATCCTAGTTAGTGGTGCTAATATTTATTATTAATTATTTATTCCCAACATTTCTACCCAGTCCTTCTCAACCCCCTAAGTGGGACTCAGGGTGGCTTACAACGGCAGCAATTCGATGCCAACAACATACAAAACCACATTACAAACAACATAGTATTCAAGTGTTCCATCCTTGCATGTAATTCATGCATTGTGGAATTCAACAAAGAATTGTGTGTCGTTTCTACACCTTATTTGCCCATCCTGAAGTGGTTTTTTTGCCCAATTATCATGAGTTTTCAGGGGAAGAAGAAAGATAAGTTTCTAGATGTCCTCAAAACTTTGGAAAACATGCTTTTTTGCACAAAACCCCAAGTAAGTTTGTGGAATTGGGATGTTTGCACAAAAATGAGTTTCACATGTAATTCCCCATTTTTTAAAAAGCAAGAACACACTGCCATATAATAATAACTGTGCACATGGGATTCTGGAAATAGTGTTTTTACGTGCCAAAAATAGTGTTTTTGCACAAAACCAATTGTACAGAATGGTTTCCCAAAACGTATTGAGATTTGAGAATAACAGAAAAACCTGTGAAATTATCATTTGTGTGTTATTCTTCCGTGTATCCTGAGTATGATTTTTAATCTCAGAAACAAACAAACAATTCCTCCTATTCCTGTTTCTGGTATTTACTTCTCATTTAATGCACACACACACATCCTACCAGCCTGAAATTTGAGGGTCAGAAAAACTCTTTTAAAAATCTATGCTGCTTTTATATGAATTTGGCTTTTTAAACCCAGAAGTAACATCGGGTTTGCTCCACCATGCAATGTTTTCACACCTAGCTTTGACATTTTGGTATAAAATGAAGAAATCAATACTGAAATCAATAATGATCTCTGTGAAATAACCAACTCTGTGTGTATGACATTTGTGTTGCTTTTTAATGCAGCACCTAAAAATACATCAAAAGCAGCTACAATATTGGGGGGGAAAAGCTTCACAGGCCTGATTCTGTAGGTGGAGTGGATATGTTTTTGAATGTTTTCATGCAAAAAACATATCCATTGTTGGTTTTGGGGCAAAACTGCCCCAAAATTGGACCACCTTTTTGTTTAAAAATGAGGTGAGGGAAGTTGGAGAACTTGGCGGACGGATGGAGGTTTTGAGGCCCAAATCCAATTGTTAATCCCAAGTAGAGCAAATCAATTGAATGAATGGGAACTTGGTAAGCCAACATGTATCTAACATCCACTGATTTAATTCGTTTATTTTAGAAGGGACTAACAATTAGTCTTGTGCATTTGTATAGAATTGCTATCCATTTCTGTTTGTTTCATTCCTAAGGCCCCATCTTTTGCTTTTGAGTACCTCTCCCGAAAACAGGCACTTTTCCAAATGAGGTTTTTTTGTTCCAGGTACGAAAGAACAAAAAAAATTGGACCATTGGCCAGCATGGGCAATTTTCCCAGGCTCCCCTTCCTCTCAGTTTTAGGGCGAGAGGGGTGAAAATTGCCACACATGGAGGGCACATCTACCACTCTTAGCCCAACCTGTTTTATAATATTTGGGTCATTCCCCAAATTTTAGGATTTTTTTCTTTCTATAAATAAAATCTTAATATTCCCTCTTTCCCCATACTGGCCCTACCCTCTAATTTGTCCAGGAGCAACAGTAGGCAGGATGCGGGCAGGGCACCATTCCTTTCTGCCAAATGATGCTCTGCACACACCACACACAGAGCCCAGTGCCCAGCCCCACTCACTTCTTTAATAGGCGGCAATGGGGGGGGGGTAGCAATTATCCTCCCCTTCCCATAATTTTTGGCAATGGCATGGCTTGTCTTGGAGCTGCCGCCTTGGGTCTTTGCTTGCTGCTGTTGCTGCTGTGCTGGGCGCCCTCCTCCTTCTCCTCTGCCTCTCATGCAAGGAAAGTGCCTCCAGCCCTCTCCTCTTCCTCTTTGACACCTCTTACCCTCCTCTTACCTCCTTCTCAGCTCTTGGAGCTGCCGCCAGTGCCTTGGGTAGTTGCTGCTGCTTCCTGTCTTGCTGTAAAGTAAGGCGTGAAGGAGGAAGAGGAGGGGGGCTGGAGGAAGGGTCTTCCTTGCATGGGAGACGAAGCAATACTGTAGCAGCAGCAGCAACAAATGACCCAAGATGGCAGCTCCAAGAGCCGAGGAGGAGGGAGGAGGAGCCATGCACTCTCCAAAGCACTTTAAGGAGGTTGCCCACTTCCAGATAAGGAAGAGTGATGTCCTCCTGGAAGAGGAGAGTAAATGGGGGTTTACTTTTTGTTTGCTTGGGGATTAATAAAAAAGATTAAACTGTGTCCATGAAAACCAGGAAAGGAAACTGTACCCGCTCCCGCTTTCTTTCATTTTGAGCTAATTTTCGTTCCGCGTGTGTGTTCCCATTTCATCTTTTGGTCCGAAACAAAAGGAACAAAAGAATGAACGAAATGGCAGAAATGAGTGCCACGCACACCTCTAATAACAACTGACTTTGGGCCTATATCTATTGGTACTTAGAAAGAAACAAAACAAATTATATTTCTGCTCATTCCCTGCTGTTTATACTTACTCTGGAGAAAGTAGAGGTTACAATATATAGCCTTATTGATTTAAAGAACATTACATATTCTAAAAGACATTACGACCCCCATATCTATGATATGGTTTCACTTAAGCAAGGTTTCACTTATTCACTCAGAGCCTTCTGTACAAGCTACTCTTTCTCACTACCCCTATTATTCATCCTATTGAAAATAATAGGATTTGCTATTATCCATGGTTTCACATATTCACATGAAGTCCCCCCAGATATTTGGGGGGGGGGCCATACTGTGTATCAATCTAATTTGAATACTCATTTTAAAAAGTATTGCTCTGACTTTGCTTAAGGAAGGATGAAATAGAACAAGTCATAGTGGACTGGTGGGTGTTTGGGCCCACTTTAATTCCAGGAAAGGTTCCTCACCGTGATTCCACTTACTGGGGCTGGACAGGATGGTGGTGTCTTCCTCATTGGAGCTGAGCAGACGCATGAGCTTGGATGGCTGTGTGTCATCCAGAGGGAAGAGGCTGATGTAATCCTGGAAATAGGGACCACAAAAGGAGAGGAAGAGCCATCTGTGATTATTAATAAAAATGAACAAGGCAGGCATCCTGTGCCTTTCATTCATGCCTGGCCTTGCACTCTAAATTAATGGTCTCTCTCTTAACCCTTCTTCTCAAACAGCCTGATTAAGGGTGATTCATGCACTCCATTTCTATAATTCCTTCTTTGCAAAAGATTTTATTTCATTATATACAAGGAGGCTGGTAGTTGAAAGGAAATGCACAACTTTACACAAATTCTTATGTTCTCAGTCCTCAGAATCAGACAACCTTTTGGTGTAATTTCCCTCTAAACCACTGGTCTCCAACATTTGGTCCTCCAGATGTTTGGGATGTTAACTTACAAAATTAAGGTGCATTTGTCATACTAACTAGGACTTCTAGGAGTTGAAGTCTGAAACATCTGAGGGGGCAATGGTTGAGTCAATCAATCAATAGGATGACCTGTTCATGAATATTACTGTCTTCCAAAGGTGGTCTCTTGGTGGTGGGTTCATAAGTGACTGTGGAGACCTATTCTGCATCCACATGGTCATTCATAATGAGGACATCGATTTCCAGATGGAAGGCAGTCATGACAAGAATTCACCTGATGTGCTTTCCTCTCTGCACTCTTCTCCCTTTCGTCTTCTATTGATTATTATGTGATTAATGTAGCTATTTTCTATGTGATTATTTGTATCTTGTTTTTCATTTTGATGTCAATTTTTATACAATAAGTTAACTGTCATTACTGACCAACTTTGCACAAATTGACCTCAGAAGCACTTTATTTTATGGTTCATGCAATTAAATCCTTCCTTATCCCTGGATCCTCCTCCCCGATAATTTACATTGTCCTATCTCCCAGCGTTTAAAAAAAATATTTGAATTTGGCCCTGCCCAGTGAAAATCTTTTGTGTTTTAATAGTTGATTTTATATTGTTGTGTCATTTATTATATTGGTTTTCTATTTTATGTATTTTATTTTCTGATTTTGTTATGCTTTTGTGTTATGTTGTGTGTATTGTACTGACGGGCATGGCCTCATGTAAGCCACACCAAGTCCCCCTGGGGGAGATGGAGTGGGGTATAAATAAAGTATTATTATTATTATTATTATTATTATTATTATTATTATTATTATTGTTTATTATATTGCATTAGTGTAAAAAAATTGCATTTGTCTGGGCATTGAATGTTTGCCTTTTTATCTTGTAAACCATCCTGAGCCCCCTCGGGGAGAGAGGGTGATCTCTAAATAGTTATATTATTGTTATTATTATTTGTGCCTCTTCAAAATCCATAGCACTGTTGGTAAGAGCTGGCCTCCTGTTACAATGCTCAAGTGCAAGGGCTTCTCAGTATTTATACTACATTTTTATGTCACCTTTAAGGCCATCTTTAAATCTCTTTTGTTGTCCACTGACATTCCATTTACAGTTCTCGAGTTGAGAATGGTTGAATACCACTATGCTAAATTGCTGTATCCTATCAGATATAAGGATACCAGAAGTATATCTCTTTTGCCAAAGCTATCAAACACGTGCAAAGGGAGACTCCAAATCAAAGTCACAAAATGCTCCTGGCAAAAGAGTTGTGCTGCTCTCCTCAGCCTATCTCTTCCTTCCTTTGATCAAATTCACTCTGATCACTGTGCTCTGTTCTTCCTCAAATGCATCCTTACTGAATGACGAAGGAGGAATGACAGCTTACTTCTATATCTTCTCGGTGCCTCTTGCGTTGCCAAGCAGACATCTGTCCTCGATTGTGGGAGGTGTAGGAACTGGAGGCACACCATACAGACAACCTGAGGAGAAAAATAGGGGGGAAATATCAGATCCAGAGGATACACAAGTGAATTACATGGAACCTCCAACTTCATATTTACTGCAGATGAGCAAATGTTGGCTCTGGGCTGCAAAATTGTTTCTTTTTTACTGCTTCAAATTATACATACTGATGGGTGATTGTAAAAACATAGCTTTGAAGATGGACTGAGGTCTTCTAATTCCCAGGCCCTGTGCTATAAGGGTCTAACATCTGAGATGGAAGATAATCCTCCTATATTCTAATCCCAACTAACAACTGTGATTTATTATACTTCCTTGTCTTCTTGAATCTTTTCTTTATCCTTCTGAGTACCAACATTTAACAGAATGCTTTCATCTAACTTCAAAATAAACTATCATGAAAAGGTATGAGCAATCCTAATGAAAAGAGACTTTCCAGGGTTGAAACAAGGCTTTGTTACTCTGGCACAAAGTTTTCCCTTTCTCATTGCAAAACAAACCATGCAAAAACAAGAAGTTATGTCTGTGTTTCAGTGGTAGTCGGGGGGGGGGGGGGGGGGGTCAATTTCACCTTCAGAAATATCCACATGCTGCACCTTGCAGTGAGCTGGAATACATTATAGCAATTCTTGATAGCATTTTGAGACTGTACAAGGAAGTTGCAATATTTGTGGATAATACGGGGTTATGGGGTTCCCTTTTCATGTGACAGGGATGATTTCTGCATGCCTTTACGGGGCAATTTCCCCCAAAAGCCATTTTTTAAATTGGGGGAGGTGGAGGTTAGAGGACCTGAGGGACTGTTGGGAGCTTTAAGTGCAACAAAATGGGTGCCCAGGCACTACAAAGTCCTGATTTACATTAAGTATTACCTAACAGATCTCAATGTTTGGATACAGAATTTGATTTTAGTACTGCCTCTTACTTGGCAAGAGCCTTGCCAGGAGGGTCCATCAACATATGCCACTTGGAGGAGTCTGTGAGGAGATTGGGAAGGATGTGGCCCAGCAGGGTGAGTGTCAATTGCTGCATATCCAAGCAAAAAATTGAATACAGCAACTCCACAGCCCGCATCGCATGTTCTTTCCGTGTCTCTTTCAGGAGTTCCTAAAAAATAAGTGAGAGAACAAGTGAATGGAACTGGGAGGAGCCTTTGGAGGTGGATGTTGGCTCATTGTCTAATAACATAGTCTAAAATAATGACTTTAAAAAACAGATTGGGTGTACTACTTCTCTGAATCTGCTCAACTTTCCTCTAACAGTTGCTAATAACATGGAGACAAAAACAGGGCCCTTCTGTTTTATAGGATAATCACAAGGCTTATTGAAATACTGTAATAATTGTATTGTCGAAGGCTTTCATGGCTGGAATCACTGGGTTGTTTTAGGTTTTTTCCGGCTATATGGCCATGTTCTAGAGGCATTCTCGCCTGCATCTATCAACCAGGGACAACTAATCACCTCTCAACAAAAGATTCCCCCAGGCACTAACAAGCCACACCAAAAAACTGCCAGGCCATCAAATGCTAATCAAGATGGTCAGTTGAAACATTCACACCTAGCTCCAGCAGACAAGAGTTCTTTGTCCCACCCATAAACCCAATGTTCCTAGTTCCAACAGACCTCACTACTTCTGAGGATGCTTGCCATAGATGCAGGCAAAACGTCAGGAGAGAATGCCTCTAGAACAGGGGTAGGGAACCTTTGGCCCTCCAGCTGTGGTGGACTTCAACTCCCACAATTCCTTGAGGCTCGGCATTGGGCCAAGGTAAGCCTTTGGGGCGAATGCCGAGCCTCAAGGAATTGTGGGAGTTGAAGTCCACCACAGCTGGAGGGCCAAAGGTTCCCTACCCCTGCTCTAGAACATGGCCATATAGCCCGAAAAAACCTACAACAACCCACTGTAAGAATTTACTAGGACTCCCACAATGTTGTGACAATATATGGGGGAAGCATACCATAGAATCTCCTGAAGGATCGAGCAAATTCCTAGAGATATCACTCTGTGTGCAGCTAAGTGAAATCACGAATACGGACTCCACCATTAGAGGAGTCCTACTGTAAATGTAAAATGAAAAGCTAAATCTTATGAATTACTACAATCAAAACTATTGCAGTGGTTTATTTTAGTATTTTTTTAACTTGCTTTTTAGGCTGGAGCACAACCAGTCCATACCTACAACCTCCATTATCCATCTTACGTGCAATAAATATGCTAAGATCAGCATAACTATCAAGAAAGAACTCAAGTGCAACCATGCTCAATCACGTTGACAGTGCATCTTATAAAGTATTCTGTTTCATCATGCCCAAGCAAGTATGTATAATAAATGTTGCATTCTACAAACACAACAGTGACAACCCCTTACTTACTCCTGTTCCCTAGAAACCAGAGCTGCCTCTGAACACAGAGTTAATATTTATTAATACTAGTTACCGCAATTAATAATTTATACCCTGCCTTTCTCCAACCATGGAGCCACTGTAGCATACTATTGGAAATAGCAACTTTCTCAAGCCTCCACTATTTATTTATTTATTTATTTATTTATTATTTATTTACAGTATTTATATAGCGCCTATCTCACCTCTGGGGGGACTCAAAGTAGTTTACACATAAATAATGGCAAAATTCAATGCCTTACATTGGGCACCGATACGATGCCAATACAAACAATTACAATAGTAAAACCACAATTAAACATAAATTATAATTAAAACAATACATCAACAAGCATTAAAACAATAAAACAGTCTCATCAGTTCCCTAGAAACCAGAGCTGGTATTTATTTGTTATATATATATAATTGCTTACTGTATTGTATGTGTGTATTGCTTTGCAATTTTATCTGACCTTTTTGTTGTGAGAGGGGCTGCAGACTATGTGATCAGAACTGGGCCTTTTTCAGGACTCAAGGGTCCATAGTAGTTCAGTTTGGTTTAGACTTCAGTGGAAGTAGAAGCCGTTAAGACTCTTAGAGTGAAGAGAAGCCATCTGTATGCTTTTAGAAGTTTTGTGAGTAAACCAACTCTGTTACTTTGAAAGAAGACTGTTTACTTCGTCTCTTGAGAGCAAGATTTAAAGGGAAATATATTTTAAGGGAGAGTAGATGTTATTGGGCAACTTTAAGTAACACGTCTGTAACTCTGCTGAATATATATGTTTTTGTGCATTGGCATGTCTTTATCCCTAGCAGTTCAAAGACATACCTAGGTACATCAGTTTAACAGTCGAGAGACCTAGTTGTCTTGCATGAGTGCTGGTGAACATCATTTTACAAAAAATGATGTGACTTCTAACAAGGTTCCCCTTCTGAACCTGCAAGGACTTTAAGAGCATCTGGAGAGGCCCTGCTCTCGGTCCCGCCATCATCACAAGTACGGTTGGCGGGAACGAGAGACAGGGCCTTCTCAGTGGTGGCCCCTCGGCTATGGAATGCCCTTCCTAGGGAGATTAGATATGCATCCTCAGTCCTATCATTCCGGAAGAATCTTAAGACATGGCTATTTGAGCTGGCATTTGAAAATACGGAGCAACCAATATAATAATGGAATAACTATATGTCGGAACTGGGCCTTATTTTAATGATTATCGATTGAAGTATGTTTTATTAGAATGTTTGATTTTATTGTTGCTGATGTTTTTTATATTGTATATTGTAATTGTGTCCTTGGTGGTATTGAATTCTTGCCTTGTAAACCGCCTCGTGTCGCCGGAAGGCTGAGAGGGGCGGTATAGAAGTGTACTAAATCAATCAATCAATCAATAAGGTCATTCCTTTCTTGTAACCAGTGATTTTCCCAAAAGGTTATGAATCCCATTTCTCAAATAGTTATATTCACATTTCCCAAAACATACAATGTTTTAAAAGCATGATACAATTTCAAATTGTATCGATACAAATGTTACAACACAAACTAAATTTCTCTTTAAAAATAAAAATAGCATCAATGATTATTTAAAATTAATAAATAAAAACATAAGATAATACATGCAACTGCTGCTCATTGACAAGCTTATTCCCCATGAATTGGTCTAATCCTCCAAGTTCTTTACCATCATTAGTCCTCACTGCCCCAACGTACCTTGACAAGGTTGTTACAGAACCAGTAGACCCCGCCCATGTGCAAAAGCGTGTCAAAGATGTGGATGGAGCGGCTGTCCACCCAGCCTTTTTCTAGCACTTTGGAAAAGACACTCGTCAGCACCTCTTTAATAGGCTTCTTGGGTGGGAGGAGGTTCCAGTAGGGCATGGGGTCTGCTCCAGTGGCCGGGAACTTGATCTGTGCAGCTGTCTGTTGTACAACATCAGCACACATGTGCTCAAGGATCGAACTCATGATAAGTACCCTGGATAAGGGAAAGAAGATGTTTACTGGACTTTTTACTATCCAACCTTGCTTGGATGCTGTCAAGTTACTATGCATGTGCCTGCGCATTTAAGTGTACTGTTGATTTGCAGCAATCCCATGAATTCCATAGGGTTCTTTAAAGGTAAGGGATATTAAAAGGTGATTTTGTCAGTTCCTCCTTCTGAAATACAGCTTACAGCACCCAGTATTAATTAACAGTCTCCAATCCAAGTACTACTAATTATGTGCCTGCTTACCTCAAAAGATCAGACAGGAGCTCATGCCTTTAGGATATTTTAGGGTCCCCAAATTTATAATCAGATTCAATAGGATAAAACCCTTGGGCTACCAGAGCCTACAACTTTTGGGTTTCCTTCCTAAATGAAGAAAGGAATGGGCAGCGGTCCAATTCAATGTCTTCAATGATTGTTTTGCTCATCAATATCTTAGGACAGTGGTTCTCAACCTGTGGGTCCCCAGGTGCTTTGGCCTACAACTCCCAGAAATCTCAGCCAGTTCACCAGCTGTTAGGATTTCTGGGAGCTGAAGGCCAAAACATCTGGGGATAAACAGGTTGAGAACCACTGTCTTAGGTAGACATTTATGGACTACATCTCAAGGTATATATAATTATAAGCTACATTAGCTTAGGGTGAAAGGAGCTGTCCCTTCACCCACCTCTGAAGGGACATAGCTGCCCACCTAATTTTAAACTTGTTCTCATTCAGTAAGATGTCTGGACCTTACAATTATGGTATTTACTCAATTATAATGCTCATCTTTTTTTTTTCTTTTCTTTTCTTTTTACTAAATCACCATTCCAAAATTAGGGTGCTCATTAGATTTGTATAATCTGGTACATACTTTTTGGGGTTTTAGGGTTTTGAAAATGGAGGTGCATAATAGATTCGATGGCACATTAGACGGAAGTAAATACAGGATATAATTGGTCTCTTCTGCCCTTCCTATGAGAGTTGTCTTGTGACATCACAATAATGAAAATACATTGTGCAGTGTTTCTTAACCTTCCTAATGCTGCGACCCCTTCATACAGTTTCTCATGTTGTGGTGACCCCTAACCATAGAATTATTTTCGTTGCTTCTTCATAACTGTAATTTTGCTACTGTTATGAATCATCATGTAAATATCCGATATGCAGGATATATTTTCATTCCCTGGCACAAATACCCAATATGCCCATATTTGAATACTGATGGAGAGGGATGGGATTTATTTTGCCATTTGGGAGTTGTAGTTGCTGGGATTTACAATCACCTACAATCAATGAGCATTCTGAACTCCAGCAATGGAATTGAACCAGTCTTGGTACACAAAACTCCCTTGAGCAACAGAAGATATTAGAAGGGTTTGGTGAGCAGTGACCTTGCATTTTGGAGTTGTCGTTCACTTACATCCAGAGAGCACTGTGGACTCAAACAATGATGGATCTGGACCAAACTTGGCACAAATACTCAATATGCCCAAATATGAACACTGGTGTATTTTGGGGGAAATAGACAGTGTCATTTTGGAGTTATAGTTCCTGGGAGTTACAGTTCACCTACAATCAAAGAGCATTCTGAACCCCACCAATGATAGAATTGGGCCAAATTTCCCACACAGAACCCCCATGGCCAACAGAAATACTGTGTTTTCTGATGGTCATTGGTGACCCCTCTGACACTCCCTTGCAAACCCCCCAGGGGTCCCGACCCCCAGGTTGTGAAACACTGACAGAGTGCATACACAGGAACTAGAAAGTGGAGCAGAATGTAACCAGGCTAGTCTGCAGTGTAACTGTAGGCTTTGCTCCACATTTTGCATCCCTATACCTATTTCACTGCATCTGGATAGGCAACACATATGATACTCACCTTTCACTGTAGAACTGAAGGGTGTTCTCGCCATACAGGGGTGTTCCCAACTGCCGGATCATCTGCAATGATTTCTCCCTCTCATCCAAGCCCAACATGCGGACATGGGCCACGAGCCAGGCCACTGCACATACAGCCATGCTGCATACTTTGCCCTTGATGTTATCTGTAATTTTCTAGGGAAGGGAAGGGAAGAGAGGAGATAGGTAGCTACAGAGTTTTACAAAGAATGAAAAAGATACAGAGAAGAAAACTGAAACTGGGACAGGGTTTTATTTATTTTGTTCTGACTTAGACTATGTTAGTGGACATGAGTGTGGGAGAACTGAGGAAAGCTTTGCTGGAGATGGCTCAATACAAAGACCTAGCTATTTCATTCTACATGCCAGAAATCTACAAGTTCAACCCCATCTTTAGTGGACATATCATGCCACTTTGAAAAATTTATGCTGGAAACACAGTGGAGTATGCATATCCATTATACACAATAGTAAAATTGTATCCTTTATAGAGAATGGCAAAGTTAAGGTTCCTTTTTTTAGAATTCTTGTTAATATTTTCAAGCTATGGATGGGTGAATTTGTGGATGCAAAATCCATGGATATGGAGGGATATTTCTGCCCTCTCTTGATACAGGCCCACATTAGTTCAATGTCATGGTTATTCTGGGTACACCCAGATCTTCAAAGGCCAATAATGTCCAATTTTAATGTTCACAGTCACACTAGAAAAGGGACCTCTTGAACTGAATACCTGGACTGATTCAAAGGTGAGAACTCCATTCTCCCAGGCATTCAGGATCTCCAGGATGGCTGCAGAGATGCTCATACATGCTTCTTGCCATTTCATCTGTCTATTGTGATGGAGGCAAAGAATCAAAACAGAAAACCTGGTCAGGAATCCAGTCCATCATCATCATTAGGCATTATTTTTCACCCTGCTTCCAAAACCTCAGTTTAGAATTGTATGAGGGAAGGAGGACAGGATAGTGTTTGCTAGGATCCATGCCGAAATCAGATGTTAGAAGTGAGTAGTTGCAAACAGCCACATCTTTGTATTTATTTCCCTCTTCTATTAACTAAGTTACAACTACAATATAACTGTAACACAAAGACAAACAACAGGCAGAGCATCTATCATCTGGAAATCAAAATTTCAAAATACTCCAAAATTCAAATTTGTCCACATGCTGAGAGTGACGACTTTGTTTTTTGATGCGTCAATGTATGCACATTTGTTTTTTTGCACAAAATGATGTAAAAGATCATATATAAAATTACCTCCAGGCTATATATGTAAGGGGTCTATGAAATACATATCAATGTAATGTATAGACTTTTGTCCCATCTTCATGATATCTCCTCATGTATAGTAAATGCATATATTCCAAATTATATTTTAAAAAATTCCAAAATCTGAAATATTTCTGGTCTCAAGCATTTTGGGTAGGAGTTATTGAACCTGTAATAGAGACCAAATTCAGAGAATGAAAGGTTCCAGCATCCCTTTCCTGAATAAGCAAAAACAGGCCTCCTTGGCTCAAAATGCAACTTATTCGTAAAGGTAAAGTTTTCCCCTTGACATTAATTCTAGCCATGTCAGGCTCTGGGGGGTGATGTTCATCTCCATTTGTAAGCCAAAGAGCCGGCATTGTCCATAGACACCTCCAAGGTCATGTGGATGGCATGACTGCATGGAGCGTCGTTACCTTCCCACAGAAGCAGTACCTATTGATCTACTCACATCTGCATGTTTTTCAACTGCTAGGTTGGAAGGAGCTGGGGCTAACAGCGGAAGCTCAACCCGCTCCCCGGATTCGAACTGCCGACCTTTTAGTCAGCAAGTTCAGCAGCTCAGCAGTTTAACCCACTGCACCACCTTGTAGTTAGCACTATATTCTTCCCAGAACCCTGTTTAAACAAACTGAATGCCCAAGAAATTTATGAATCCACCTGCAACATCACAGAAACAGAAGAGAATGAACAGCCATGTGACGTAAGTAGTGCATGTGTAGCTTGCTTTCTTGCCTGACATCTCGCACTAATTCAGCTACTTACACCAACTTCATTTCGGAGGAATTGTTAAGCAAAGCCACTAATGATTCCACCTTGGTGGAATCAGGCCGGAAGCAAGGATGGTCAGGATTGAGGATCTTCCCTTCTTCTGGCATGCAGTTCTGCATCCAGATCTCAAAGAAAGGCACTTCTCCTGGAGGTCCAGCTTCCGAAAGGATCACCTGAGGGACAAGCAGTCAAGAAGAACTTCAACCACGACTGTTGGGGCCCCCGAACTATAGCTTGAAAAAAAACATAGCCTGATTTTGGGGACACCTGCTCTAGGTTCTCTAGCATGACTTGAGAAAGTTGACCATAATAACACTGGAAGACCTAGAGATTTCTAGAGAGAACATTTTAAATCAAATCTGTGAATAATCAAATCCACTAAAGTAAAAACTGCAAAGGTGGAGACACACCTGTATGATGTGAAGAGAAGGGGGAAAATTATCTAAATGTGGAGATGAAGGGAAAAAAACTCTGAGATTCACCTATACATACAAGTTTCCACAAATTACCACGCGTTGTCAGGACAATTTGGAATAACACGTATGAGGCAATTACGCTTTGTTGGTCTGCCAGTTTTTTATTGCTCATAATGTCTTATTACGTATTTGGAACCATTGCTTTGCTATAGCACTGGATGTCCCTTCAAGCAATCTGTCTGGACAAATGACTCATATAATAACAATAAATAAATAGTATGCCTTTTCAAGTACAAGAAGTAATTCTTGGAATTTATTTTTGAACAAGACATGCCTCAAGTAAGCCGTTTCTTCTCAGCCTGAGTCTCTCCCTCTGCAGTGCTGATAATACTAATGCTGATTTATTTCACTGAGTTGCTGTAAGGAACTGAACTGAATGATGCACATAAAGTACTACAAACACTTTAAAGTACTATACAAGGCTTAAGTATTAGAGTGATAGTTCTTAATCTTGTTGCAGAAAAGTATTCTGCATAAACTCAGAAATAAGTGCCGTTTTATGTGCCTGAGGACATAATCTGAGTCCTTATCTCATTGCTGCCTCTTCCCTGTAACACAGAGATCAGAAAATCCTTACCTCAGAGCCATATGTCTGAGCAACATGACACAGCATAAGGAAGGAGATGTCAAAGAGAAGCGCTCTGACTGAAGCTGCTTTGGCTGGAGCAAAAAAGAAGCCAATTTATAACAATTCCTCTCATACAACAAAAAAAGATGTATATTCTCAAAGGCTTTCATGGCTGGAATCACTGGGTTGCTGAGTTTTCAAGGCTGTATGGCCATATTACAGAAACATTCTTTCCTGATGTTTCGCCTACATCTATGGAGGCATCCTCTGAGGTTACGAGATATATTGAAGACTAAGCAAGGAAGGTTTATGTATCTGTGGAAGGTCCAGGGTGGCAGAAAGAACTCTTGTCAGTTGGAGGCAGGTGTGAATGTTGCAATTAATCACCTTGATTAGCATTGCAAAGTCTTGCAGCTTCAAGTCCTGGCTGCTTCCTGCATGGGGGAATTGCTGGGAGATGTTAGCTGGCCCTGATTGCTTCATGCCTAGAATCCCCCTGTTTTCATAGTGTTGTTCTTTATTTACTGTCCTAATTTTAGAGTTTTTTAATACTGGTAGCCAGTAATAAAAAATATTGGCTCAAACTGACAAGAGTTCTTTCTCCCACCCTGGACCTTCCACAGATATATAAAACTCCCTTGCTTAGTTTCCAATATACCTCACAACCTCTGAGGATGCCTGCCATAGATGTGGGTGAAACATCAGGAGAGATTTATTTACTTATTTATTTATTTCAAGCATTTGTACCCTGTCCTTCTCAACCCCCAAGGGAGGACTCAGGRCGGCTTATACTRGCAACAATTCGATGCCAACACATACAAAACACAGTATAACACAATATCACACATTAAGTAAAAACATTAGATTAAAAGTCCATTTAAAACATTATTATAATCCATATAGCCTTATCCAAGTCCAATTCAGAGTCCAAAGACTTAATCCAGAGCTTGTCCAGGTGACTCAAAGAGGTGAACAACATCAATACAAAACACCACGAGAGAMGTATAGGTCAATTAAAAACAATTGTAACATAAATCATTAAACATCAGTATAAAAATCATTAGCGCCTCAACAGTAAAATCAGAATCCAGTCTCATCATCCACTATTCCGTATTCCTATGTTCAATTACACTGTTTCATCATTGTCAGTTCATGTAAACATTGCAATTACTAATGARCCTGCTACCCAAATGCCTGGTCCCAGAACCATGACTTGAACGTCTTCCTAAAGAAAAAGAAGGATGGAGCTGACTTAAATTCACTAGGAAGCAGGGAGCCACCACTGAGAAGGCCCTGTCTCTTGTCCCTGCCAAACGCGTTTGCGAGACAGGTGAGACTGAGAGCAGGGCCTCCCCGGACGATCTTAAACTCCAAGGCAGAAGAATGCTACTGGAACATGGTCATACAGCCTGGAAAACTCACAAAAACCCAAAGATGTGCATGTTTTATTATAACAATTAATTATCTTTGAAATACAAAAAGGTGCTTTGTAATTGTCTTGTTCATTCTACCAAGACTATCATGACTAGAAATGTGGATAAATGCTCTGTACAAGCTCACCAATACATATTAAAATAAAATAAAATAAAATGTGCCAGTAATCCTCCACATAAAAAGATGAATTCTAGAACCTAAATCTTCTGTGAGAAAAAATATTTCAGGAGAAATGCTTGCTTTTGGAGACTTCAGATCTATTTTCTCTCTCTCATTTTTAAGCCCAGTCTTATGGACACAAATGGGCACAAATCTATTAAAATCATTTATTGTCTTTCTAGCAGTTAAAGGGAACACAGTTTAACATAATATGTTATTAAAAGCTGACTTTGTGCCCTTTTAAAATCTCCAAATGTTTTATCAGATCTTTGTGGAAACGATTAAGAATGTTTAAACCCTCCAAATCTCTAGAGAAGTGAAGGAAGAATAATGCAGAAAGTCTCAAAAGCTGGGAGCTTTTCTCCCATAGTCCAGTGGAAGGTCAGAGAGCCTTTTGCGTGTTTAATCACATGCAAATATACTCAGAATCCTTATCTTAGGGTGAGTGGGATGCAAACATCATTCCTTCCAAAGGAGTTGAGCAAAATGGGTGCACAGAGGCTAAGAGATCCATTGGCTCAATTGGGAATGGAGGCTAGAAAGAAGGCTCACAGCTGCAGATTAACTCTTTGCCTCCCAAAGTTGAGATCCCCACCCATCAGCACAAAGTCACTATTCTCTAGGGTAGGGGAGAAAGGGAGGATGCACGTGGTAACCCAAAAGACAAAGAGACCCCAGTCATAACTTGAATATCCCCCTTGTTGCATCAGGAATGCCAGGGCCAGCGTTGCCTACGCTGCCAGGCACCATGGCTCAATTTCAACTCTTCTTCACAAGCTTCCCCCCTCTCCCACCCCCCCAGATCTTCCAACTTAAGCCTTGAAAAACTAAAGTCACAGCGGGAATCATTGCAGCATTTGACTTTCAAAATAAAACCCCCCAAAAGAGCTCAAGAAGACAAGGGACTTACAGCCTTCACCACTGATGTGTTTGGTAAATTCATTGAGCCTAATATGAGAAGACAAGGGAAACAAAAGAGAAACGGTTAAAGGATGCTTTTGCGTAATCAGATCTCTTAAATAACCTAACGTTTTGATAATTTTCATGTGTGATGTGCAAGGCAGTCCAAAAATATTGACTCCCATTTTGCAGATAAGGAAAAGCCGTGGCCAGGCATCCCTAGACTTGAAAGTGCGACTCAGACACAATGGGAATTTGGGCTCTGCTCCAACAGAGTGATCCTCTGCTCTTTGAGCTAATCTGATCCAGACACAACCTTCTTAGCTAATCCCTGCCTCCCATCTTCCTCTTTTAGTCTGGCTCCCCACCACCCCCATTTTTTCTCAGTTCAGATTTTCATACATAAGCCTTACCATCCAGGCAATTCACCCTCTTGCTCGGGATGCTCCCATAAAAGGAAATGTGTTAAAGTTACACATAGAACATCCAGCATCTATTACTACAACACTTTCAAGGAAACCTACATGCAACCCAAGCACTTTGGTTAATTTACTAGGATAGTGGAGAAGGTAAGTTAGGAGATGTGAATGATTAAGTTTTTATTACTCTTGTTGTGGTCTTGTATCATGTTTAATGTTTAATGTTTTGAATGCTTTATGATGTTTTGGGGCATCGAAACGTTGCCTCTGTAAACTGCCCTGAGTCACATGAAAGGCTGAGAAGGGCAGTATACAAATATCTATATAAATAAAAATGTAATGTTCGTTTGTGGGATTAACAGAACTCAAAAACCAGTGAGCCAATTGACACCAAATTTGGACAGCATACCCCTAACAACCCAATGTATGTCCTTCACTCAGTTTTTTTGATTTTGTCATTTGGGAGTTGTAGTTGCTGGGATTTATAGTTCACCTACAAACAAAGAGCATTCTGAACTCCACCAATTATGGCATTGAACCAAACGTGGCATCCAGGACTCCCATGACCAACAGAAAACATTAGAAGGGTTTGGTGGGCATTGACCTTGAGTTTGGGAGTTGTAGTTCACCTACATCCAGAGAGCACTGTGGACTCAAACAATGATGGATCTGGACCAAACTTGGCACAAATATTTCATATGCCCAAATATGAACACAGATGGAGTTTGGGAGAAATACACCTTGACATTTTGGAGTTGTAGTTACTGGGTTTTTTAGTTCACCTACAATCAAAGAGCATGCTGAACCCCACCAACAACAGAAGTGGGGCAAACTTCCCACACAGAACCCACATTCTTAAGGCCATCCAGTCCAACTCCCTTCACCAGGACAAGCCCTCCTAACAAAGAGCCATCCAGCCATAGATATAGATATATATGATTCACACACATACATATAGTATTTATAGATTTGAAAGGGACCCCTAAAGAAGGACAATGATATGTTGCATATTCCAGAATAGGCAAACCAGACACTCCCCACATCAACACTGACAAACAAACAACAAGAAATACTGTTTACCCACAAATATAAAGAAATTATATATATTGGAAACCAACATTTTCTCATTACTTTATTTTCCAGATCACCAGACTGGGCCACAGCAACATCTGGCAGGGGACGGCTAGTAGTAAGTAAATAAATAAATAAATAAGTTGGGAAGTCTCCATCGACAACCACACTCAAAGTCATACGCTGTCACTGGCCAACCTCACTCCACAGTGGATTACCATATATGATCACCAAGTGTTGGCCACCAGCTTCCAGCGACTATGGCAGGCATCCTCAGAGGTTGCACTGGGACTGTGGCGCAGCTGCCTGGGAGTCAGCTGCATTAAGATCACTACTGACTGAAAGGTCATGAGTTCGAAGCCAGGCCGGGTCAGAGTGAGCATCCGACCAATTTGTGTAGCTTGCTGTTGACTTTTGCAGCCCGAAAGACAGTTGCATGTGTCAAGCAGGAAATTTAGGTACCACTTATGCAAGGAGGCTAATTTAACTAATTTATGAGGCCATAAAAATCTCCAGCAAACATGCAAAAGAATGAGGAAGTACTTCATAAGTGTCACAAATGGATGGTGAAGCAACAGCTCCCCTGGTGACCAGAATACCCTCATGAAAAGCTGGAAAGTTAAATAGCCTCTATGTCTATATATGTTGTGTGTCTGTGGCATTAAATGTTTGCCATGTATATGTACATTGTTATCCACCCTGAGTCCCCTGCAGGGTGAGAAGGGCGGAATATAAATACCACAAATAAATATATAAATATAGAAAACTGTACACTCAGTGTACAGTGAAAGATGCATTGCACAGCCACAATTTCACACTACATCTCTCATGTTTTCGCCCTTTTTTAGAAGAATGTAATAGATTTACTTAGACCAAAGACTTGTGACAGAAAAATACATCATCACATGACTTCCAGTCCCCCTCCCCATTTCCTTTTCCTAGCACGAGACAGTAAAAACAAATCTGCTTTTCCCTTAAAGGAGAAATGGCTGCCTTTTGCATAGAGCAAGGAAAGAGGTCCTCATATTACTTGATTTGCTCAGGAACAACAAGGTCTGAGCATGCTTGTAAATAGCCACTTCTGGGAGGCCTAATAGCTCTAAGAGTGGCCATCTAATAAGTGCTTCAGTGAAGCAAAGACAGAAATGGATTTAGAAAGGATGCAGCAGTCTCCAGTGGAACTAGCAGGAGGTGGGTGGATGGGAGAATGGAGGCAAGAAAACTACTCTTCTCTCTTGGGGTGGAATGAGAGATGCAAGTGAGCCCATGGCTAAGAGAGAGTAAGCACCTACATTCCATTAGCACTGGACTGAAGAGCTTACAGTCTTCAAGGTTTGAAGCTAAGGCTAGAGAGTGAAATGCAAGAAGAGATGTCTGGATTCCACTGAAAGCAACAGCTCAATATTTCATCCATCATCTCTCTCTAAAGGTAAAGGTTTCCCTTGACACTAAATCTAGTCATATCTGACTCTGGGTGGTGGTGCTCATCTCTATTTCTAAGCCAAAGACCCAGCAGACAACTCCAGAATGACTCCATGAAGCGCCATTACCTTCCTGCGGGAGAGGTACCTATTGATCTACTCATATTTGAATGTTTTCGAACTGCTAGGTTGGCAGAAGCTGGGGCTAACAGCAGGAGCTCACCCCACTCCCTGTATTTGAACCGCCGACCTTTTGGTCAGCAAGTTCAGCAACTCAGCAGTTTAGACCACTATGCCACCTGGAGCTCCCATCCCTCTCCGATTAAGCATAAATCAAACAAACAATGTCAGCAAACTGCAAATCTTCCTGTCTTCACTCTACTTTTTTGACTATTACTTGCAAGGAGGAGAAACTAACCATACACAGTTTTTTGGGTTTCTGTTTTATTTTGGAGACTAGCTGTACCCACCACGCATTGCTGTGGTCAACCTTCCTCTTTCTCTCCTTTCTTTCTCTCCTTCCCTCCCTCCCTTTTTTCTTTCCTTCTCTCCTTCTTTCTTTCCTTCTCTTCCTCTTCCTTTCCTTCCCCCCTTTTCTTTCCCTTCCCCTTTCTCCCCTTTCTTCCTTCTCTACCTATTCTTGGACTGCAACTCCCAGCAGCCCTTCTAATCGATCTATCTACCTACCTATCTATCTATTTATCTGGAGGATTTCTGGGAGTTGCAGTTCGGGAATAGGAAATATGCAGGAATTGGGATGCTCTCAAAGAAATCCAAGGAGAAGAAAGCTTGCATCTTGGAAGCAGTTCATTTGGATTATCCTCCTCTCCTAAAGGGCCTGGTATAGGGGATGCTGGGAGCTGTAGTCCGGAAGAGAGTGTAGATATCCTACTGTGTGTTTTATTTGTCGGGAAAGTCATTTCTGTACATGCGCTGTAGCATCTTTTTGCTTTTTTGGCTTTTTAAGTCCCTTCCATTGTGTTTTTCAGTGTTTTTATGAGTGATGGTCACTCACTGGCTTGATAGGTTCATTGTGTCCAAATTTGGTGTCGCTTCGTCCAGTGGTTTTTGAGTAATGTTAATCCCACGAACGAACATTATATTTTTATTTATATAGATGAGGGTGACATCTCAAGGAGCTTCTATTTTCAGCTCAACCTCCTACCTCTGGCTGTGGCTCTGACCAACTGAAAGTACCTCTTGCGCTTGGGCCACAGTTAAACTGAGTAAACAACCAAACCATGGTTGAATAAGCCAGGATATGCATATGCTTCCTTTTGAAAGAGGCATGATTCCCTACTCCTGTCTCTGTGATTGAGGTCCTTGCCACTTGTCAATTAATCTGGATTCTCTCCTATATCCCATTATCACCTTTTGTCCAAGAGAGTCTCCAATTCATGATGATGGTTAGACCAGACAGTCAGATCAACACTTCACTCAAACATTCTTAAGTACTGGAATCTCAGGACATTTACATGGCAAATGATGAGTCTCTCTGGTATTCTTTGGGCTATATTATGCACCAGCATAGATACACATGCATGCATCTTTCCTTTAAGGAGAAACATAGACATATAGATATCTAGGCTCTTGAGTATTCACTGCATTACAGTGGAGTCTCTATATGTACAGTTTCTGCATCCACAGATTCTGCATCAACCAAACATTGCTCCAAAATATTTTTTAAATCCAAAAATCACAAACTTTCTGAAGAAAATTATTAAACTTAACTTATGCATCTATTTTCATCTTCCTTACATTCTTGTATATTTTTCAATGTTTATTTATTGTTTTAAGAATACTTATTTATCTGTTGAGGACCTAGTCTGTAACTGCATTTATCTCACTATAAGCTTATTAATGAACAGTCATAATGAGGTATCTATCTATTTATCTATTTTATCACAACTTTCCCAGAATTAGTGTACACCCACATAATAGGGCAGTTTGTCAGCATATTAGCCTATCAGGAACAGCCTAGTTGTCTGACACATCAAACCACCTCAGTGGAGACATGCCACAAAGGTAATCTAATCTGGGGCTATTTATTTTCTCTTTAGCTTCGCCCAGTTTATCAGTTATCCAATCAAAACAAATGTGTCAACTGCGTGTTGCTTATACTTATCCAATCAAAGCAAATACCTTTGTCTTTTAAGTAAGACTTTTTAGCTGCATGTCATCTTGATTACATCAACCTGTGAACTAGCTGGGAAGGTTACTCTATCTCTATCTACTGGATGCCTGCTAAGACTTATTATAGGCTACCTCTGCTCATGTTTCACAAGATGAGGCTAGAAGCACTGACAGTCACATCTCTTATCTTGTTTGCATTCCAGTAAGCAGTTTCCTAATCATTGATGCAGGTTGATCTCTTACAGACTCTTGTAAATTTAGCTTCAAGTATTACATCTTCTAGGATATACTAAGGTTACACAGATAACATCTAAATATTCTGGTCTGGTAGGTGGGGGAAATAGGGATTTGGGAACTTCCAGTCCATTTAACAGTGAGATGATCTTTTATTTTATTTTATTTTGAGTTCCGCTACCCTACTTTTCTACTTTGCTTTACATCCGATTTGTTCCCCTCTTTTATTGTTATTGGAAATTGTTGCAAATAAAAATGATTAATAATAATAATAATACATATATGGGACTGTAACTAACACTTTATTCTTGTCTGCATGTAAGCCAGTCAGCCCCAGTTAATCAGAAATACAGGAACTACAGGGTAAGACAGCATAACTTTTTAAAATGCGTGCCATTCAGTCAGTTGAAGGCGTAGCGGAGCACTAGTGGTCTTGTTCGAGAGGCGGGAGTATAAACTTTTGTCCTGACACAGTTCAGTCGCCATCATGCGTTGGAACAGTGAGGAGCGTGCTTTTGCCGTTGAGGCCTACTTTTTGAGAGGATTTGGAGTGGCTCTCCAAATTTGGCCCCTTGTGATTTTTTTCTATGGGTTTTTTTGAAATCCTGTGTTTATGTGAACCATCCAAGGACCCTACAAAATTTGAAGACCAACATCCAGGAAGAAATTGCCAACATAACGCCTGCTATGCTGGCAAGACTCATGACAAACGCCAGAAATCGGTTTACTCAGTGTATGGAGAATGGGGGACATCACCTACCTAATTTGATCTTCAAAACTACATAAAACAAAACTTTAGGTATGGGCCTACATTATAAAAAAAAACATTCTGATTCATACAATGGGCTTTATTAAGTTTTGAAAAAAGGAAGTTATGCTGCCCCACCCTGTATGTTTCCTTTCAAAGCTGATTTAGGTCCTGCGCTGGAATAAACGTAGGATATAAATAAATGGAATATTCATAGAATCATAGAGTTGGAAGAGACCTCATAGGCCATCCAGTCCAACCCACTGTCAAGAAGTAGGAATAATTGCATTCAAAGCACCCCTGACAGATGACCATCCACCCTCTGCTTAAAAGCCTCCAAAAAAGGAGTCTCCAGGGCAGAGAGTTCCACTGCTGAACAACTCTTACAGTTAGGATGTTTTTTCTAATGTTCAGGTGGACTCTCCTTTACTGTAGTTTGAAGCCATTGTTCCACCTCTCAGTCTCCAGGGAAGCAGAAAACAAGCCTGCTCCCTCCTCCCTATGACTTCCCCTCACATGTTTATACATGGCCATCTTGTCTCCTCTCAGCCTTCTCTTCTGGAGGCTAAACTTGCCCTGCTCTTTAAGCCGTTCCTCATAGGGCTTGTTCTCCAGACCCTTGATCATTTTAATCACCCTTCTCTGGACACATTCCAGCTTGTCAATATTTTCCTTAAATTGCAGTGCCGAGAATTGGACACAGTATTCCAGGTGTGGTCTGACCAAGGCAGAATAGGGGGGTAGTGTAACTTCCTCTCTTTGCAAACTTTGAAAAGAAACCAGTAATTGGAAACTAGCTATGGCTTCATTTTATGACTTGTGATTAGTTTATTAATTAGCTTCACACTATCAACAGAACGGAAAACTATGGCTATCTATAGCTTCTTGGTTTGTTTACTTGCTTGTAGGCAAGGAAGAGTGAAAGGAGAGACCAAATCAGATGAGTGAAGCACAAACTCATGCATTTCACAGAGGCTTACTTCACAAACTGATTGATCAGAAAGGCAACACTCTGAATCCTGGTAAAATCAAAATGCTTATAACCTGCCTCAATGTGTTTGAGTGAGTGGGAAGAACAGGAGATCCGTGTAAAAACAAGAAGGGCACTATTTGTGCTTTCTATTACTTTTTAATTATTAATAACTGAAAATACTTTCCTCAGCCTCCTTCAGCCTTCTTTATTGGTCCCTCGTTCAAATGTGCCTAAAGGTAAGGTGATGGCTGTAAGCTCCCAAAAAAAACCCCCTACATAGATGTAGGTACCGCAAGGAGGCCAAGAAGAAATATTTAAAAATTACGTATATCAAAATATAAAGCAGGTACTTGGATAGCAAAATTTCAGACTTTGCAAAACTAAATTTTTATTTCACAAAATGTGAAGAGCGGAAATAGCTTTGCAATAGCTTTTGCCTGTTTTTATTAAGGTGAAGCATCTGGACTGTTGTGTGCTCAAGCACTGGGGTGGAAAAGCACACATCTTTAATAAGCAACTCTAGATCTTGTAATTAAGATTTTAACATTCCAGCTCCAAAACTATCTTATTTAACTCACTCCCATACATACATAAATACATACACACTCACTTGATGAATTTCCGAGCAAAGGATTTCAGCTTTCCTGTAGCTGCTGCAGCTGCCAACAAGAGATCCAAGCTCTTCCCAGACAGCATATGTCCCAAAACGCCCAACAGCCCTTCTGGGGATTTTGAGTGGTCTGAATCCATTGTCTGTGGAGGCAGAGAAATATGTAAAGAGGAAAATGTTGTGGAGGAAGATTTCCGATCAGTAGCCATCCCAACAGAACACAAGCTGTGGAGTTTTGTAAGAGAGAGGCTAGTTCCTGCTTTCTTGACAAAATGGCCACTAGCATTTCTAGTAGACAGGAAAGAGGGTGTATGGTATAGAGTAGTGTAATACTTCTCATATAGGTATTCTATTTATCCACTTTTCACAAAGTATACTCATAACATATTAAGTGGTATAACTCACATAATTTTACTCCAACTTGCTAAGATTCTCAAGTATAACTAAGGCTTCCAACTAGGTTAATAATGCATACTTAACATAAAGTTGTACTACGTTTCGCCTGCATCTATGGCAAGCATCCTCAGAGGTAGTGAGATCTGTTGGAACTAGGAAAAAGGGTTTATATATCTGTGGAATGACCAGGATGAGACAAAGGACTCTTGTCTGTTGGAGCTAAGTGTGAATGTTTCAACTGACCACCTTGATTAGCATTTGATGGCCTGGCAGTGCCTGGGGCAATCTTTTGTTGGGAGGTGATGAGATGTCCCAGAATGTTACTTCTCTGTTGCTTTGCTGTTGTAATTTTAGAGTTTTTTTTAATACTGAGACCCTCGCCAATGACTAATCAAGACCAAACTTGGCACATGGAGCCCCAATGACCCACTCTACATCCTGGTGCAGTTTGGAGGAGGACAGACCATGGATGATGGGACTTCAAGTACCTCCACTCCCTTCCCAAGATTGCTGCAACCCTCATCTAATGACCAATCAAGAACAAACTTGGCACACAGAGCCCCCATGACCAACTCTACATCCTGCTGCAGTTTTGAAGGAGGATTGACCATGGATGATGGGACTTGCAGTACCTTTACTCACTTACTGAAACCACTGCGACCCTCATCCAATGACTGATAAAGACCAAACTTGGCACACAGAGCCCCCATGACCTACTCTATATCCTGCTGCTGTTTGGAGGAGGGTGGACCATGGTTGATGGTACTTCAAGTACCTTCACTCACTTCCTGAAAACAATGCAACCATCATCCAATGACCAATAATGACCAAACTTGGCATACAGAACCGCCATTACCCACTTTCTTTAATAACCCGGGCAGCGCCGGGTCCCCAAGCTAGTAGTAATAATAATAATAATAATAATTATTATTATTATTATTATTATTTTATTATTAATATACTGCCACCACCTCCCAAGAGGGACTTGGAGCGGCTTACAAGACACTGCAATGTAGTATATAATACAGTGGTTCTCAACTTGTGGTTCCCCAGATGTTTTGGCCTTCAACCCCAGAAATCCTATCAATGGGTAAACTGGCTCGGATTTCTGGGAGTTGTGGAATCTGGGAACCCACAGATTGAGAACCACTGATATAACATAAACAGTACATGAATGTAACACCCTAAATGTTTGATTAGTGCTGTACACTGCTTCGAGATGTTTATGTGTAAGAAATTTATAAATACACATCAATAAATAATGTCTGAATTAAAAAGGCACTTATAGTGATTGATCAACAAGCCAGAATTAGAAATGACAGTTTTAATAGGGTTTACTAATCATACTGCGTCAACTATGGTTTGGCATAGTAGCTGAATGGATCCTAATTACAACAACTGTTCTGCCTTTTAAAAAAGGATGCTGCTGCACCATAGAGACAAGGAGAAAGTGCTAAGATGAATACTAAAATGATAGGGGGGAAAGGCATGAAACTTGCTTACTAGCAACAGAAAAGTTCTCTTTCCACCCAACATAATCTCACAACAATGCTTTGAGACAGATGTTCTGAGTTTTTTGGGAGAAGGCTAAAAACAAATACAATTGAGAACATTATCCCAATTTCCATCCAAATATAAAATACACTAAATAAAATACATCTCTCTGAGTTCATTACTTCCAGATAAGCTTATATATAATCAAAAGCTTTAGTAGTTAGTGAAAAATTAACATTTTGTGTAAGATTTTTTTTCTGTGCACAGGATGATACTACTAAAGCAGGACTTACTTTGAGGATATTGGTGACAGTGGGCTCTGCCCGCAGGATGAGGCTTGGGTTGGGCTGGATATTAGCATTCTCTGCAGATTTTAAGCGTGGGGCATGTTCTCGATCAGCAGTCCTGGGTAAAGTGGGGGGAAAAAACACCTGAGGCTTTAAAGATAGCTTGGAAGTATTCTTAATGAAAACAGAACAGTTATAAAGATCATTTATTCATTCTCTATCCCACACATACGAAGTTCAGATATCCATGAAACTGCTGCTTAAGACTTAGAATACTTTGTATAGGAACTCACTTAAATACAGGTATGAATAATTCCTATTCATTGGCTGACTGCTAATGGGTGTAATAAACTAAGGAAGCTAAAATGAAAATGTCTTAAGAAAGAGGATTCTTCCAAATACCGAGGGAAAGTTTTATTGAACTTGTTGAAACAATATCCTACCAGAACCAATACACTTTAATACTTAGAATCATAAATTTGGAAGAGACCTCATGGACCATCCAGTCCAACCCCCTGCCATGAAGAAGGAAAATTTATACAGTTCTGGCCCAGCTTACTTGTCCGAACGCATCCACCCCTACGTCCCACCTTGAAACCGAAGATCATCTAAGGAGGCCCTGCTCTAGCTCCCGCCAACAGCACAAATGCGCCTGGCAGGGATGAGAGACAGGGCCTTCTCGTTGGTGGCCCCCCGCCTATGGAACACACTCCCAATTGAGGTAAGATCAGCCACCTCCCTCCTAGCTTTTTGTAAAAAATTAAAGGCATGGCTTTGGGACCAGGCTTTTGGACAATAGATGCAAGCCGCACTTTAAGGGAATGTGACTAGAACAACGATATGGGTAATGAGACTGTTTTACTGTTTTAATGATGGCTTATGTATTGTTAATTATGGTTTGATGTTTAATTGTGGTTTTAATTACTGTAATTTGTTGTGTAATGGCTTCATAACGGGGCCCATTGTAAGCCGTGCTGAGTCTCCCTTCGGGGGTTGAGAAGGATGGGATAAAATGCAATAAATAAATAAATGAAATTGCATTTAACACACTTAAATAAAAAGCATATATTTATGAACAAACAGATGGGAGATAGGTGGTTATTATGTAATAACAGGAGAAAGATAGTAATGGTCATATGTACTGCTGCACTTCAGAGAAAATCTATGAAATGGACAAATTTACTTACACTGGCCACTTGGTAGGTTGGTTATGTATTCACGCATGGTTGCATAGAAACTGAAAGCTAAGTGCCTTCTCTCCCTTCTCTTTTAAATGAGAACCTAAAACTCAACAAATGGTTCAGGTAAGGTCTGACAGCAGCCTCAGCCAATCCTTTTTACTGATCCCTGTTGCTACACTTTGTAGACAAAGTGAAATAAAGCATACCTTTTGTCTGTAAGGTTATTCATGTTGGGTTCAGAGAGCAGGCCTTGTTTGCTACATTCCTGAAGGAGGAGACTTATGCAATCACAGCTGGAAAGCAAGGAAACGTGTATGAATACTAGAATGAAAAACAGCATACAAGGAGAGGAAAGCACGATAATACTGGACATTTACGAAAAGAACACTAGATGTCACATAGTGATTACTCAGACACACAAACAACGTATGTTTTCAAAGTAGAATTCATTCCCTAGGCCCGCCATGTCATTTTAACCTTATTATTACTACCTTGGGAATACTTTGTGTAAATAGTGGTTCTCAATCTGTGGGTTCCCAGATGTTTTGACCTTCAACTCCCAAAAATCCTAACATCTGGTAAACTGGCTGGGATTTCTGGGAGTTGTAGGCCAAAATACCTGGGGATCCACAGGTTGAGAACCACTGGCATAGATGGATGGAATATAAACAGGTTCTTTGCTTTCTTAAGGAGCCCCTGGTGGCGCAGTGGGTTAAACCGCTGAGCTTGTTGACCAAAAGGTTGCAAGTTCGAATCTGGGGAGCAGCATGACCTTCCACTGTCAGACCCAGCTTCTGCCAACCTAGCAGTTCAAAAACATGCAAATGTGAGTACGGCTCCAGGGGGAAGGTAACGGTGTGCCATGCAGTCATGCTGGCCCCATGACCTTGGAGGTGTCTATGGACAACACCGGCTCTTCAGCTTAGAAATGGAGATGAGCACCAACCGCCAGAGTCGGACACGACTAGACTAGTCAGGGGACAACCTTTACCTTACCTTGCTTTCTTAACAACTGTATGTAACAAAATGGTTGCTATCCCATTCGTATCCCCTATCTGCAGAGGAAACATCTTTGAACTTGGCATGGAAACAAGAAATCATAGATAATAGTGAATCCTACTGAAAGAAACAAATTCCACCAAGTTTCCAGAGAGCTGCACTGGGAGACCTAGAAAAGTCCTATAGAAGAATTGCCATTGTGACAGTATTTTAATGTCCAGCAGAAGCATACCACAAAAAATGCCTGAGGCACTCAGAAAATTCCCACAAAGGACATAATTTGTCAAGTGCTACAACAGGAGTTACATACAGAAGCAGTCTCTGCAGTCCAAGTCTGTTTTGTACACATAACACATTTTCATGGTCTTGCTTGTTTTGCATAGAATATACTTCTCTTTTCAGCTATTTGGAAATGGACTGCAACCAAGGGAAATCCTGCTCAGACCTTATGAGGCTTCTGCACCAAACATTTTCAAGGTTAACAGTTGCATAGGAGCCTATTACACTTCTTGTTTTACAAAATGAAAATAAAAGTCAGGATTTTTACAATGTTGACATCCTTGATAGGCAGCTTGTTCTGTCTATAGTACTGACTCAATATCTGATCCTGGCTAAAGGATTGCATATGAGAAAGAAACAGCCTGGTTTAGCATAACAGAACAAATAGTTCAAAGCTGAACATAAGAAAACTGGACCCAATTGTTTTGAAATGTTATTTTATGCAAGAGCAATGTTTCACAGTTTGGTGAGGTTTGGTCCTAATCTATCATGCAGAACAAAGAGTTCTAGTTGTGACAACGTCAGCAACAACCTGAGCATGATGGACTGTGTTTACAAGGCTATCCGTCGCTGCTGGCCCTTCCCCAGATTCAATCATCTCTGATGTTCCATGCCACAGAAGAGGGAAAGTATCCGTGATTTGCCTTGAAAAAGCCTCATTTCAGAAAAAGATGGCACTGACGTCTGTTTTTCAGATGAACATGCTGGCCAGTATAATGAGAAATATAAGCAATGTGGCCACAGGGCTACAAATTCCTATTTCTGCTAGATCGCAAATATCAATAGTTCACCGCAGACAAATATAGGTAAAGATAAAGGTTTCCCTTTGACATTAAGTCTAGTCGAATCCGACTCTGGGGGGTGTTGTTTATCTCCATTTCTAAGCCGAAGAGCCAATGTTGTCCATAGACATCTCCAAGGTCATGTGGCCAGTATGAGTGCATGGAGCGCCATTACCTTCCCACCGGAGTGGTACCTATTGATCTACTCACATTTTCATGTTTTCGAACTGCTAGGTTGGCAGAAGCTGGGGCTAACAGCAGGAGTTCACCCCACTCCGTGGATTTGTACCGCTGATCTTTTGGTCAGCAAGTTCCACAGCTCAGTGGTATAACCCGCTGCGCCATCGCGGCCCCAAGACAAGTATATCTCTCTCCGATAAATCTGAGAGAAACATGTGTAGCCAATTGTCCAAGATCAATAAGAAAGCTAAGCATGGGTGCCCTTCGAAGGATGGGGTAATTCCAGCAAATTTCAAGACCTTTCCTATTAACATTCTTCATACAACTCTGGAATGCTCTAGTTAGCGTAATCTGCCTTAGAGCATCTTTTCTGGGATTTGGAAGCCCTGCAACTTTTCTGTTAAAGCAAGAATTGAAGTTCAATTTTTAGTAATTGATCTTGGGATCATTGTGTTGTTGGAAAAGAAATGCAGTTTTAAAGTACATAAATGTAAAACTAGTTTGCAAGACTGTTATAAGAACTACACTGAATTCAGCAACAATACAGTAATGATAAAACATTTTTTCATTTTTTTAAAGCGAGGCACTAAATTGACCACAATATACAATATTTTAATGTGAAATATAGGCTTTTATAGCAGGCATGTATGACATATGTACGCACATATATTTATATGCACAGGCAGCCTCCAAGTTACAAACATCCAACTTACATAAAGCTTCTAGTTACAAACATGGGTGAGAAAATAGAAGGTGAGAGGAAATCTACCCCTAGGAAAGGAAGGTCACTCCTGAAAGAGTTTTCACTGGGAAAAAGATATCTGCACTGAAGTTTTATCACCAATTCTTGTTTCCACGACAGTATAAAATTTTCATCAACCAATTGTCACAGGGACAGAAAGTGAGGTGAAATCTTCTGAACAGGGCACAGATAGCAAAACAAACCCCACAGGGATGTTAACTCATCCCTGTATTCAAAGCTGTGTGTGTGTGTGTGTGTGTGTTTGGCTAGAGTTACATTTTAAAAATGTACCTGTTCCGACTTACATACAAATTCAATTTAAAAACAAACATACAGAATGTATCTTGTTTATATACAGGACAGCCTGTATATAAAAACGATAGGAGGCTCATAGCTAGCCCTGTTTATGGTGCTATGCCATACATCCTAATGGTTTTACTGTGCTTTCTTTTGTATCCAGTGCTGCTGTCCACACTCCTTTAAAGAATTATTTTCATTCAGTGCATTATATCATGAAGTGATATGTGCTAGCTAGCAAGTACAGAGTGGGAGAAGGTAAACTAAAGTGTCAATGAGCAGAGCATTTAATAAGACATAGAGTAGGAATTAAACATCCACTGGTGTTTGATTCTACAGTAGGAGCCCTATAGACATCAAAATCCAAGGATGCTCAAGTCCCATTATATATAAAGGTATTGTAAAATGGCATCTCTTATATAAAATGGCAACATCAAGGTTTGCTTTTTGGATTTTTTGTTGAATAGTTTCAAGTTATGTATTTTTATTTATTTATTTAGAACGTTTATATCCCAATCTTCTCTAACCTCCGTAGAGGGACTCAGACCGGCTCACAGCAAGGATTCAATGCTAATAGTACAATATAAAAACATAATACATAATACAATAATAAGTTAAAATACATATAGATTAAAATTACAAATAAGCCAAATTGCCAAGATAAAATCATGTCCAACTCAGTCCGTATATGTGGTTGATAACTTTGTTCTGTAGCTGGTCTCAACCATTATTCTGGGAATGCTTCCTTCCATACCCAGGATTTCACCAGCCTCCTGAAGGACAGGAGGGAGGGGGCAGATCTGATCTCAATCGGGAGAGAATACCATAGCCGAGGGGCCACCACAGAAAAGGCCCTGTCTCTCGTTCCCTCCAGACATGATTGCGAAAGTGGCGGGACTGAAAGCAGGGCCCCACCAGAAGATCTTAATTGTCTTTATGGTTCATAGGGGAGAATACATTCGGACAGATAAACGGGCCGGAACCGTATAGGGTTTTGTAGGTTAAAACCAGCATCTCCCCCATGGATGAATCCATGGATACAGAGGGCCAACTGTAGAGCTACAGCTGTTCTGGACAGCACAGGAAGTAGTCTACATCTTTCACAAGTCTCTGCTAACCAGGGAAGTCCTCACTTCACCCATCTGATTGGCTACAAATGTTCAAATCAGCTCCCTAGCTGAATAACCCTATGATCTCCCCAAAGGAGTTTTCTCTGGTTATCTTTTTATATTAAACATCTCTTGTTTAATATATACATTACAGGGCCCTGCTCAACCCTGTAATGTAATTCAGGAATTCCTGTCTTAACCTCACACGTGCTCTCACTCTGCTCCACCTGTTCTTAATCAGATTGCATTGGAATCCAACAGCAAAATGAATGGCTCCCTTAAACCCAACTTTTACCCTACTAGTTGGACTGAAGTTGTCAGATTCCCTAACTTTTGTGTCTGAGCTTCAAGGAGTAGATCAGGAAGAAGAGTCTTGCTGTAGACCAGTGAGCTGAATCTGGTGAACATGAAGATGAGACTTACACTTACAACTCTCAAATCAAGTCTATATAAAGGTTGGTCCTTGATTCAGGCCAGAAAGAAAAGGAACCTACTTGCAGCGTTGATCAGCCTTGTCCAGCAGTGGGGTCAGCTTCAGGAGGAACTCAAAGGCACAATTCACATCTTCTGTGAAATCCTACAATTGCACAAGACTTTCTCTTTTAGACTTTGCACACTGTGCATTAGAAAATTGCAATCCCTTATTAAAAAACAGAAGAAAGATAACACATTGCAATAATATTGGTAGGCAAATTCATGCCTTTTTGACGTTAGTGGGGCTATCATGCAATACCTTTCATCCATGACAAAGTACAAATAAGTCTACCCATTTCTGTGCCAGGTACTATGGTGAAAGATGACTTTTTTGTGTGGCCTGCTCTTTGCAAGAGGAATATTGGGATTTGTGTTTTATACAATTATCTCAGTAGAAGTAATTATCCAGGTAGTCTTTCTGAATCAAAACAAACAATCAATTTAAGTGTTCTGCTTCTTACTAGGCAACGGTCCAAATGTTGCCACAAGGATCACAAACCTTGGAGACTGTATTTCTAAAAACCTGATCACTAGAGGTATCCTTCCTCTGGGAGATAATGTAATTCTTTAACTTCATGGTTAGCAGACACTGTGAAATATTTTCTTTCTGAATTTATCTGATGCTATAAACATCACCTCTAATCCCAGCACTTGATAGTCATTGTGAGGACTTGTTTCACTTTTATTCACTTTCCTTATAAACATTTGGCCTATTTAGGCAACACAAAAGCATGCTTTTACCTTTTCTCCTTGGGGATATTTTTTCAATTTCACCAGTACTTGTGGAATCTGAAAAAGAGTAAATGAGATATTGTCATGACCCACCTCATTTTCTTTGTGATTTTCTGGCTTACATGTTGAGACAGGTAAACTTCCCTTATCTTTGGAAGTATTACTTCAGAATGAATGCAGTTTGACACCACTTTGACTACCAAGGCTCAATGCTATGGAATCATGGGAGCTGGAGTTTGACAAAGTCTTTAGCCTTCTCTAGTTCCTTACCAAACCACAAATCCTAGGATTCCATATCACTGTGCCATGTGAGTAAAGTTTACTTATTAGTCCACTGACCATATTAACAGTAAGGACAAAAAACCCAAAACAAAACAAAAAATACACAAATAGACACTAATCACTGTCCTAAAACTTCTGTAATAGTGAACATACATTAAAACACAATTAAAACTTGATTAAGTTAAAAGTTAAAGATAATTAAAAATATCATAATTAAAGTGACAAGGTAAAACTTCATACCACATGACGAAGGTTAAAACAAAAGTTAAAATAGTTCAGCTATTACACAATCCCAATCCAGTTCAGATATCTTTGTCACCTCTACAGTTTACCCCAATTGCCCCCAAATATGCAGTTCTCAGCTGTTGCTTTATGTAGAAAAAGGGCCATTTGGTGTGTTATCTTAAGATAACATTGTGCCATGGTTGCTAAAGCGATGTCTAACTGCATTAACTCTGCAATCTAGATCAGTGGTTCTCAACCTATTGGCCTACAACTCCCAGAAATCCCAGCCAGTTCACCAGCTTTTAGGATTTCTGGGAGTTGAAGGCCAAAACATCTGGGGACCCAAAGGGTTGAGAACCACTGATCTAGATGCACCCTGAACCTTATCTTTATGCCCTGTGAAGAGCTACCTCTCCCTAGTCTCTTTTAAAATGCATTGCTTTTCAACATTATGTTACTGGGTTATTTTTTATTATTTTTTTGGTATTTGTTACGATTCTTCACCCTGAAAGTTGGAATATCAATGAACATTCCATGGTATTAAAGTAGCTCATTCAAAAGCTCAGGACAAATTCAGACTCTCTTGCTGTTGCTTTCTGTTAGAGGAAACAAAGCTGTAATTTGACATGAGAGGTTGCTTACCTGTAACCGTAGTTTCCCTAGTGATGTGCTGTGAATTCGCACTAATGGTACTTCTG